TTTGGCAGCCCTACCCCCACCCCAACCAATTGATATCTCATTCAACAAATCCCCAGTCTGGGCTGGCTGGCTGGTTCATTGTGATTGCTGCTTTTCTGAAAGAAAAGCATTGTTGTTCAGTTCCCAATACACATGTCAGGAGGTTCATCTCCACCTAACAGAACTCTAATCTCAGGGGATTTGACACCCTCTTCTGACTTCTGTGGGCACCCACACACAGGTGACATATATTCACATATAAGACACACAGTAATTTTTTTTTTTTTTTTTGAGACAGGGTTTCTCTGTGTAGCTTTGGAGCCTATCCTGGCACTGGGACACTCGCTCTGGAGACCAGGCTGGCCTTGAATTCACAGAGATCCGCATTCCTTTGCCTCCCAAACACTGGGATTAAAGGTGTGCACCACTAACACCCAGCTGGGAGGGGACTTTTTTTTTTTTAAGATTTTATTTATTTATTATGTATACAACATTCTGCTTCCATGTATATCTGCACACCAGAAAAGGGCACCAGATCTCATAACGGATGGTTGTGAGCCACCATGTGGTTGATGGGCACTGAACTCAGGACCTCTGGAAGACCAGTCAGTGCTCTTAACCTCTGAGCCATCTCTCCAGCCCTGGGAGGGGGCTTTTAAAAAAGATTTATTTAACTGGGTGGTGGGGGCGCACGCCTTTAATCCCAGCACTCATCTGGAGGCAGAGGCAGGCGGGGTGGATCTCCGTGATTTCGAGACCAGCCTGTTCTACAAGAGCTAGGTCCAGGACAGCTTCTAAAGCCACAGAGAAAACCTGTCTTGGAAAAGAAAAAAAAAAAAAAAAGCAACAACAAAATTCCCCATCCCACAGGTAGTAGTGCCCACCTTTAACCCCAGGAGGAGGCAGAGGCAGGTCGATTTCTGTGAATTTGAGGCCAGCTTGGTCTACAGAGTGAGTTCCAGGATAGCCAAGACTGTTTCACGGAGAAACTCTGTCTCCATCCCACTTTCACGTCTTTTGATTTACTTTGGGATCCACTGGACTTAATCAAGGCTGTCTTTGTGGTCGAGGTGTGGAGGGTGTTATCCACTGGAGCATGGCTTATTTACCAGCAGTTGCCTGCTACAGACTTCCTCTCCATCAGCAATCTTCTGAAAGACCCCAACTCAAGCCTAGCCTGATACCCACCAGCATGTATTTAAAAATCACTCTGGTCACACACAGCTCTGGGACAAAGAACACATGAAATGGTCGGTCATGATGACCAGTCTCTGGAAATTGTTATTATTACTAGTTTCCAAAGAATGTTATCTACAACTGTCTGGTTTCTAAAAATTGTTATGGGTTACCCTGCTCCAGAGCACCCAAGTTTTAAAAATAGTATAAGTCACTCTGTTCCCAGAAAAACCACTAGCTGTCCCATTGTCTTGCAGGTGTAAAAACCAAAATAACATTCCAAACCTCTCCTGGGCAAAATTGTAAGTTCAGTTCCCAGCCAATGAGTAAATGACTCATATACGTTATAGCTAATCAATATGTTGCCATACTCCTGCCTAGTGACCAAAAAGACATAAAAATTGCCTGCTTTGGAAACGAGTTGGAGTAAAATCCCTTTATTTTTGCATCGAACTTGTGTCCTGTGAGTGACTCTGTGGGGTGTGTCTCCCGGAGTTGGACTTTACTTTTGGGTCCAACACTTCAAACCATTTGCTCCCTGGGTGAGGCAGGGCCCTTGAGCCCCTTCCCATCTATGATTGACTATTCAGAGGATCAGGCGTGTGCAGACCCTATGCAGGCAAAGGCATGCACCGACTTCACCAGTGCCCCTGCCTTTCATGATCCTCTGCACCATCATCTGGCTCTTACTTCCTTCTACCCTATCTTCCCTAAGGTTTCCTGAGTCTTGGAGGAGGTGTTATGAGGTCCCTTTAAGAGTGAGCACCCAACAGTTGCTTGTTCTTAGCAGTCTGACCAGCCTTGAGTCTCTGCATTAACCACCATTCACTCCAGAGGGAAGCTGCTTTGACAAGGCTGAGGCAGCGCCATCTGGTACTCCCTGCCCCCCTTTCTCTCTTGATAACTGAGATTATAGGTTGGCTCCACAGCTGCCTTGGCTGGAATTTCCATCTGATAAAATGAAGTCTGGAGCCACTAGGATTGCACCAGGGGCTTAGTAAAAGCTCCCCCACCCCCACCCCAATGAATGGGGCTTCTAGTGAGATTCCTGGAAAGGGAGGGCACTAAGCAGTTGGTAATTTAGCTGGAAATCTTGTTTTTCCTCAGGCACAAGGCTTCATCTGGATTCCTAGGTGAGGAGGGCTTCTTCGCTGTTCTCCCCTCTCTCCCACACTCAGAATTTCCTTTCTTCCTATCTGGCCCTGCTTTTCTTTCTTATTTTGAGACGGGGTTTCACTAAGTTGTCAGGCTAGCCTTTACTCACTTACTCTGGAGTAGCTAGGGTCGAAAGCACTCTCCACCCACCCGATCTCCCAGAAAGCACACTTCTCAAACAGACTCCGGCTCTTCATTTTTAAACTTAAATTTACAAATTGGTTGACAGTCTCATATTCCAACCTGGTCTAGCAGAACTTTAGGTCCTCCACTTCCTGCGTGCCGACTATAAAGTGTGAGCCACCACTCCCAGTTACACAGTAGCTTAGAAAAAGAGGACAGGATTGAGTCCAAGATAAACGTTGTCATGTCTTTGTGCCTTACGTTTCTAATATAGGGGTGAGTATTAGAAATACGGTTAAGAAGTATGCACTTTGAATGTAAAGTGCTTTTTACATTTACATAAAAAGCATTGTATTAAAATGATCTTCTTGGACAGTAACAAAAAGTACTTCCCTCCAGGAACTCCAAGCCAACATTCTTCCCAAGATACAAATACAGAAGAAAAAAAAAATATTCCCTTATTAGTGTCTCAGTAATTACTGGCTATGATGAGGACAAAGCCTCCCCAGTCTTCTGATAGCCTTTCTCGCGTGGTATGGAGAATTTCCAATCAAACACCGTAAGTGAAAGTTGCTACGGTATTCTTTTAAAAAACAACCTAACTAATAGCTGTCCTGCCCTTTTGAAAGGACACGTGGAAAGTGCTGGAGAGACGGGCTTAATGACAAGGCCCCAAACGAACGCCCTGCCTCCATGCCTTGCAGTTTCATAGTCCAAGCACTGTCACGTTTTCAAGGACTCTGCGCGGTCGAGCGTTTAATTTTTGGTATAAGTCAAGTCAGGGGAGACATTACCTCATGTTACTGAAAATAAAAGGTCGAGATCGCCGCATCAAGGACACAGGGCTGCCGGAAACGAGGATTGCCAAGGCCTAGCTCACTCTCAGGGGGAAAAAAATATACCCTTTTGCACATTTTTTTTCTTTTTTCACAAAGTGAGAGGTCTGGTGGGGCAGGGAGGGGACGGAGGCCACGCT